ATATAGTGGCAAAGTTAACTATTATAATTACATAGAAAACTAGATAAAAAATATTTACCACCTCTAATCGATGTTTCGTGATTGAGAGTTACATTCATAACTCATAAAACTCGTTCCAAATGTATTTTACACTACCCGACTGATATAATAAAATAAAACGGAATAAAACATTTCAATCATCAAAGCACTAGGTAATAAATTTAAAAAAACATGTTATGTTGTTTTCAAACTGATTTAGAAATTAGTTTTCGTTTTAAGCGCACTCAATTTTTGTATACTAATTAATAAGCAAACACGTTAGAAAATCGAAAATTCGATTTGCTTTGACGGTAAATCATTATTTAATATCACTAATTCATAGTATCAGCGATTTAGGTTACGATATAATTTAATGTTTTAATTTGTGTTGTTATAGGTTTTTTTTTTTGTTTATATAATTAAAAAAATATTATTAATATTGAGTCAATAATAAGCAACTACTTTACGAGAGAAACAATTATTTTTATTTTTTTACATTTTTAGCAATTTTCTCTTCGGCTGCGTATCCACGGGAAGGGGGAGAGAAATTCAAATACCTCCTCCATAAATTTGTTTGTGTTCTTTTAGTAATGAATTACTTACAATAAAATTAGAACATCACACATTTTTTTATTTTAAAACCATCCCCCGCCTGAAATTTTTCATGAAGTTACGGTTTTGTATACTTGCCGTTCCCCGCGGGTTGAAATTGCATACATAATTGACGTATAAACCGAAAATGACAAAAATTTACTTTAGTCCCTTCTCCCTAGACGGTCATTTATGATAAAATATGCGCATAAATATTGTACCGTATTTATAAAAATATACATACAAATTTTTTTCGATAAACAGTAGTAGTTGTTATCGTCAAACTCTGCGTTCATAATAAAAGAAAAAAAAAATACGAGTATAAACGGAGAATATCATATACATACTCGATAATAAGGATAGGTTTTGTATTTTACTTAACTCGACGTGATATAAACACCGTGTTCAGTAAGTTTGCGTGATGCTTTTCGCGATAATATCTGTAACAAACAGAAACTATTAGTAAGTAAAAGTACGTAAGAAAAGTACGATAAACATATCGATTGTTCATTATCCCATCTCTATAACATAATACTACGTTTTGCTCTATAGAGAACACAAATTAAAGAATCTGGTTTTTGTTTTTTTTATTAAAAAAAAAAATATATAAATATAAGTATATTTATCCTGAAGTTCGATTTTTATAAGGAAACTTTTCGACATATTTTTTAACGTTATCATATAAGCCATAAGGAACAGTAATTGTTTTTTATATTTTAAACGAAGCGAGAAATGAATCGGTTTTAATATAATGAGTTTTTTTTTATCTGTAAATAACTTTTCAATCAGAAATTTTGTTCCGATAAAAAAACTTGGTAGAAACTTTCTTGTAGAATATTCGATTTAGTATCAAGAAGGTTATTTATTGATTTTCCTTGCGGATAAATGTGGACAAAATGGCAATGTTTTGTATAATTTATGTTGATTACTGGGTTAATTTATTGGGCACAAGGGAAACAAATACGATTAATCTGATCAGAATCGTTTTTCTGTATCAATGGTTTATCGTTGCGTACAGGTATACATTTTAAATTACTTTACATTATATTCTTCGGTTTAATTTCACTTCCATGACGGTGGCATACCGTTCAGCAGTGTCAGCCTTTTTTTTTATAGTTTTTTTTTTTTTTTTTTTAACTTATCACTATTTTGATGGTGCATTAATAAACAATAAATCAGCTTAATGTCGGTACATATACAAAGTATTTTATAATCTTACGCAGTTTATACTATATAGGTGAATAGGTGCCATATTATTATTATACGAGTTTTTTTATAACGCCATATATTTTAAACAACACACGATTAACCTATACAACTTTTACCATAAAATTGTTTTCTTCTATAATACGCGTAAGTTACTTGTATGCTATTATAATAAAAGTATAGGTCACGGCTGATACTGTTGCAGCGACATTTACGTTTTAAATAGAGATTTTTTTTTTATTTAAGTCATTTTTACATTGTCTGCGAACGGGCAGGGAGTGTCGTCCACATTTATTTCCAATCAATTTAAGGACCTTTTTTTTTTTTTTTTTTAATTCAGCTTAAAACTCGTACATGCGATCGTTAAATCTTGAAAATGTATATATATATATATAACAAATTAAAACAAACTATGATATTAAATTGACCTTATCGATCTTGATATTATGTGCACTACACGAATTAAGAGTTCGGTGAGTTTTGCGTTCCTCATCTCCAAAACAAGACAAATTAACGAAAAGTAAATACTGTTTTTCTAATATGTTATTTGTATTACAATAAAAAATAGAAAAAAAAAATCTACGATTTTATAAAATGATTTCATAATATTATCATAAAATCCTAAACATATTATAGGTGTAAAATGAACTGTATATGATAAAGTAAACTTGATACGGTCGGTACAATCATTGACGTATCAGGGAGGGGAACGAATATGGTATTCGCCCCCACCTCCGTGGGCCGTATAATCATATATATATATATGCATTGTTATTTGTTTTTAGTGATTCTACAATTATTTTTAGATTTTATTTTTTTAAGAAATAGTTATTAATATGAATTATGTTCGTTTTAAAAAAAAAAAAACTTAAATTTTTGATAAAAAATGCATAACTCACACTAGTCACACTATCAAATGTGTAGGTGATAAATCCACACTACAGGGTGTCCTAGAGTGTCATCTTTATGCTAATAACTCTGTCAATATTTATTTTGTTTTCAATAGGGAGAACAAATAAATTTGTTTTTTCATCCCTTTGTTATTGAAAAAAATACATTTTTATTTTTCCACTTTTTATAATTTTCAAAATAGCATGTTTGTAAAAATATTATTCTAAAAATGTTGATGTATCATACATTCTGATCAAATTAATAGTTTCTTAGTTATACTGGCTTTGATGCATAGAAAATAAGAGTGAAAACAATTAATATTCAATAAAAAATAAGTTTACCGTGCTGATTGTGATTCTTTATCATGTAAAGTATTATTCTATTGAAAATTAATTGTTTTCACGTCAGTTTTCCAGAAATTAAAACGGAAATTCAAAAAAAATTTTGAAAAGTGATAAAATAAAGTTTATATTTTTCAATAATTAAAGGATGAAAATAAAAATGTAATTTTTCTCTTCATCCATGTCCCCCTCGCACAAAACCCAATCGAATAAAAAAATGAATATTGACTGAATCTTAGTATAAGAATAACTGCACTGTAGTACACTCTGTATACTCTGTATATAGTGTAAATAATATGTAAAAAAGTTTAAACTTTGTATTAGAATGAACAAATAAAATAATATCTATAGTCAAATCCGCAGATATTAAAATATTTTTGTTATCTACGGTCCAACCGGATCAAGGTTTCTGGTATTATAATTTCGTTTTGGCGGTTCGACCGTTGACTCTTAACTTTGATTTCTTTAATTACAAATGTGCCAGGATCGCTTAATATACCGTGGGCTTGCACTGTTTGCATTTTTACCAGAAAGTGAGACGTATAACAGTGGATGATATTATTTATATTTTTTTATTAATCTTTTCTATGAAAAACTGGAGATTAAACGATTACTGTGTATTATAAATATATAAGATTCATTATAATATTATATTCAATTGAATAAATATTTCTTATTTTACGAATATAAAAAAACCCAATTCCCATCTCTACGAACAAAATTGTTGTAGTTGTGTCGTTACTTTTTTAAGCAATATTATATTTTAAGGGGAGGGGAAATATATCTCCCCCTCCCCTTAAGAAATGCCGAGGTACGCCACTGGGTACAATTTACATATTTGATTAATCCGGTAGTATAATAAGGGCGTATACCTATAGAGTTTAAAAAAAAAAAAAAAAAAACCGTGAACATTTTCAAGAGTTTTGCACACTGTCGGCACCGAAGGTGGGTAGGGAAGCAGTGAAAAACATGAATTTAATTAACTCGTTTTGGCGATCTGCCGGACGCTTGCAGCGAGAACAGCGCGAATAATAGCTGGTGCATTACCCATTACCGCGATTAAAGTCTGAAGCCAAAATCGACGGTCTATTAAAAATCATGCTATAACCAATATATATAAATACGAAAATTGTTTCGGTCTATAGAATTTTTCCTAAGGAATTTTTGAAATTTTTTCTCGGGTGGAATATAACTGGAACGATAATAATATTAATGACATATTTTACGAAGGTAAGAATCCGTGTATTTTTATACAACAAACTCGGGATTATTACCAACTCTTCAAATTCTCGGGAGAGAGAGTGGAAGGGTTGTTCCGTCTATTCTTTTAATATACTTAGGTGTACACAAAAAAAACAAAAAAAAAAAAAACTATGAGCTGATGACGACGCCAACGTCGGGCCGTTATTTTGCTGCAGTAGCCGGGCAAACGATAAGGTTTTAATTTAAATGCTAATTTGAATGGGCTTTGGCAGTAGTCTCAGATGCGACGGTAAAGGATTGATAATTATTATTTCTCAAAGTTTATTCGTTCTCGATTTTATTATCATTAATTTTCATAATTGTATTTGTACTTTTACACTCAGAACACGATCCGGGCACGTAATGCTTCTAAACGCGTACACAATTAAATTCTCGTTCTTTTTGTGCAGTTTTTTTTTATCATTTACCGAAGGTTTTATTTTTAATCTCTTGCCTAACTTAACTGTGACACAGTTACCAACTATCGTAGCATTTACTGTAACAGAGACAGCGTCTAAACACGATGATACAATATATCTTCGTAGTTTATTATATTATAGTAGAGTGATAGTAGCAGTGCACACGATTGTATAGAGGGAATTTCGATAGAAAGTCTGTGGGTGTGTGGCACGCGACCGCATGTAAACAGAAAATGTATACTTATAGAGCTTTGATAATATGTCGTGTTGGCGTAAAAAGATGCGAGTACGTTGGACAGAATTAAGGACCAATGACGGTATATTTAATGAAGTAGACAAATCTAGGGAAATGTTAGGAACACTTAAAAAACAAAATATGGTGTTTAATCGAACACACTGTTGAACATGATGTACTATTACATCAGAACATAATTGAGGGTGGAATTTAAGGAGAATAAGAATGTAGAGGCTGCCATTGAACAACATTGATAACAGAGTAATTTTTAATGCGCTGGACTGCTGGACTAGTGAACTATGTGGTTCTAAAACGACTGCTCCCAGCCTTTTTTATTCTACGCACCCTTGACATTTTCAAAATCGCACACACGTCCCCCTCTCCTTGAATTAGATTAGATTATAATAGTTCAGATAATATATTGTAAAATAACATAATTAACAACAACATTTCCGTTATTTCATCATTACTATTTTCCCCGCGTGCATTAGCTAAATTCCCCACTTTTTGTTGGGAACCACTGATCTAAAAAGTTGGTAACACTTGGAAGAATAGATGGAACATAGAAAAAGTGTCTTTTACACTGTTCTCTTCGTGTTGATAACCGAATAATTATATTAGCACGCATGTGCATGATATAATTTGACATAGATGCTTTCGCGATGGTTTATGACAGCATTAACTTACTGCTCTGAATTTTTGCAACTTTTTCAGTAGTAAAAACATTATTATGGCCAGCTACGTTTATATCCTGTTCATGAAAATGTATATAATATTTTTTGTTTAGAGACCTTATAGTAAAAAAAAAATTCATATTTATAGCATTCAGTGAAAATAATAATAATTTAATATTATGCATTGTCGTAAAGACCGTGAGACGTTTTAATGACTTGTCCGACGACGGTCTGCTTGCTCCCGGCGTCCGGGACGATGATGCGACCAAATTAGAACGGATAAAAAAATATAAACATTTTATTTTTTACTTTGAAATTCGAACCTATTCCACAAAGTCTGTGCAGTAAAAACTGTAGTTTTATTGACGTACGATTATTTTTTTATCCGTTTGAAAATATTAGAAATTCGTGTTTTAACGCGTTTACCGCTCGGTTTTACCATCCCACGTATTATATAGCGAGCAAATTTTTTTCCGTTTGTTCACAAGTTGTCGACGACCCAAAGACGACTCGCTCCAATCGAAAACTGCATATTGTACAAACGACTTTCTCGTACATTTTTTTCCAGAATTTTATTTGAAAAATAAATATACACGAACTTACTGTACATTCGAATAAGTTACAAACATACCGTGAAATATTATTATAGGTAATCTATATGCACTTTGAATTATAATGTGTGCGAAAATCGATAACTTCGTGAACACAATATTATTTTAATGTCGTGTACAGTTGAACAATAATATATTAGCTTTGTTTCGGATTCCCGTTTAAACGTTGTACGCGCAAGCCTCGAGTGAAATACGAAAAACATAATGCCAACGACAATATTATGTATAACACAAATTCAATTCAACAACCGAGACAGTGTGTAACTGTGTTATATATTTTTTTATCAATTTCGAATAAACAAAACAGATTTAGTTATTCGGGATCGCCTGACCCAATTAGCCGTATAGTGGCCAACTACCGCCGTTTAATATATTCACAGTGTCGGCGTTTTTCGTTTTGACAGTGCCGTCGTGTGTTTTCGTATCGTCCCAAACCATATTTAAAATACATCCCAACGTTTATTATTATACGCGTATTACTCAACGCGATAATTGGGCGTGGAAAATATTATGTTGACAGAAACCCATTTTTGGCAGCGGAAGATTCAGAGGACGGTACACGTGCATTTGTTTGTCCCCGTCTTACAAACACATGACAGAGCAAATTTACGTTCGTAAAAACTGATTTTGTGTCAGTTTTAATCTTCGAATGTATTGGTTTTTTTAAAAATATTTTTAATTAATTTTTAAGCCTGCAGATACACCTAAAAATATTGGAATTGTAATAATTCACACAGTTTCGTGATTGGCTCTCAATATACAAATATAATTTTATATTATTGCAAAGACACAATTTACTGTAAATGACTCGAAGAATTATTGCTAATGAGATATCTTGATAGCAAACAATAATAACAAAATAAATACAAATAGATTAAATGTTACAATGTACAGTTGCTATAGTTATGCAAATAAAATAAAATACAAGTATTATAATAATGAGATTAACAGAAATAATTTAGTTTTTGTAGATAACATTCATCAGATTGCTTGTCATAGTTACAGTATAAGTTCCTTAACCCTTCATTACCCCTGTCCATTTCGATGGACATTGATTTTTAGGTTTTAGTCATTACTGTAGTTCAATACCTTACGTAGATAATTGATTAAATGATCAAATGAGTTATAAATGAATACAAATCAAATGAATAATAAATTGAATCAATTAATTGAGTGAAATTCATTTACGTTTTTGGCGAGAAAGTTTAAGTCAGTCATTCGGCTAGTTAATTTGTCTGTTCAGCGTTCAAATTTATCCGAGTACTTTCATTTTTGAAGTGCCATGGTGTATCTGCCCTGGTTCATGCAAAATCTGTTTAGTATAAATTGTATTTTTCTTCTGTAACTTTTCGAAAACCATCCGAGGCAAGTGTTTGTAATTCAAGTCGAGTTCTCGTAGTTGTGTATAATGGAGTATTTTGGTAATTGGAAGTTTGGATATCATAATATTATTCACCAAAAAAATAATAAATGAATCGCTTAATATAAAAAAAGGCCACATATTAACTAAATTTTAATATTGTTCGAGAAAGATAAAAATACCTAATAATTGAAAACAAAAATATAAAAATAAATTAAATTCTATAGTGTTATGTAAGTCTATACGGTCATTTTATGAAATATTATACAATTTTATGTGCTAACGGACTTTTTTCCTTCCTAGAAAAAATAAAAATTTGGACATGTGCCCTTTCTGTATTTAGCAATTCATATGCACAGCTGAGCACAATTATACGCACGATCAACAGGACACTAAAGCCACGTTAGAAAATAAGACGCGAAAAAACTCTGAAAGCCGAGTGGGACAAATTCAAAAGCAATAAGCAATTATTAGTATCGATAAAAAATATTATGATAGTACAACGTGAGCCTAAAGCATTCATTTGATTTAAAAAAAAAAAAAAAAAAAAACCGCGCTTTTTTAAAAACAAAAATGCTGCAGGAGTGCGGTGAAATAAATATATTTTCATAACAATAAAGTTATAATTTTATGGTATATTACAATATTTTCAATATGACCGAACCGGCTCGCGGCTGTGCCGTACACAGTATGTACGATATTCAAATTTCTCCCAAACGTTGCTGAGCACGTCTCGTACAATCGTTTCGCGCCATTAACGACGTTTGTGTTCCGGATCGTATATTAAAAGCATTGTTGCATCCGTTTCGGCTATAGGTCGATTCTGGTTGGTCGATTCACATTTAAAGCGCTCGTATTTTATCTTGCGAGTGCGGAAGTGTTGCTTTTATCAGTTTTATCAATGCGATATCGCTTATTTTTGGTGCCTCCGACCATCTTCGTTCGATCGGTTCGCGAGGTCATGTCGAAACATAATCGAAATGAATCCTCGATAAACCACGACTGGTATAAGGAACAGGGAAAAATTACGAAAAAAAAAACGCAAACAATTTGTTCTGTAATCATCGGTGCCGAACCCGGCGTCAATGGTAAATGCCCAGTAAGACACCAGAAATATTTCGTATCGATATCGTAACTGCAAGTGAAACACAATATTATGACACTTCCATACGCGTTACGTTAAAATGGTCCGAACACAAACGGCGAATGTTTTCTAGGCACTGAAACGGATACCAGGATGTGTTTCAGTCGAAAAATCCAAAACGTCAGATTCTTTGAGCGGTTTCATTTCCATAGATTCTCCGCTAATAATAAAACGGAGAACGCGAACAACTTTCTGATGCGGGATCGCCGTAATATATCGTTAATAGTTGCCAGTTGTTCGCTAACCATCTCACAAGTCACGATTGTAAATGCGAATAAACTGCATTATCTTTCCAGTAATATGCGTACGGTTCATTTCTGATTAAAGGTTGTTGAGCTATACGTGATAATCTAACTAATATAATATGCGTACATCAATATTCATGATTAGTGGCGTACTCAGGATTTTTCAATATGAAAGGGAGGGGGCTAAACTAAAAAAAAAAAATAAAATGATTCGCGAAACACATAATTATGTAACAGGTACATTGTACAATTATTTGTACTTGTTTGAATAAACACTGCGAACGCGCGATGATTACGGTTATATAAGTAATAATTTTCTAACGCTGAATAGTGTATAATATAATTAATTTTTCGTATTAAAGGTGGCCAATGGGGAGGGGGGGAGAGGCCGAAGCTCCTGAAGCGTTTCCCCTGGGTACGCCACTATTCATAATCGGACGGGGACTTTTGAATCGCGGTGTACATTTCTTATAAAATCTATACAATAATTATTATTGCATAGACAGCTCTAGGCTTACGCGTTTAAACCGGTCAATGATGATTTTGTTTCACCACTCTAGTGTTTTTTTGTGTTTTTAATCCCGAAAATACGAACGCGACGTAATTCGATCATCGGCTCGGACATGTCAATAAAAATTATTGTTTTACCGATACGTCATAATCTCACGCGCAATATCGTTTTTCGCTCATGTCCCCCTCTCTCTCCCCCAACCACCCCCGAAGACGACTGAAATAATTTGCGAACACCGACCACACCGGAATAATACGGCGACGCGTGTGGCAAGTTTTTTTTTTATTTATTACTATTGTTGTCCACGCGACAACAATGAGTAGGTACGGTCGTAAATATTATGTCGTTTCATTCGGGAACGGTTCTAATGGTCAGCGTGATATAATACGGCAGCGTAATAATAAGCCGCACGTGTACAACAGGTAGTTAAAGGTAGATATGTCCAATTAAACGCGTATTTTGTAATTGAGATTCCGGTCCCGATTATTTTTTTTCGTTTCGTTAGTAAAAACGGTTCGGATTTTTCACGTACGACGTTAAAACACGCGGATGGCACTGTTTTTAAATTTTTTATTTTTTTTTTTTTATTTAATCCTCAATATTTCATCCCGTTGAGCAGCGTTTCTCTGCCATAAGGTTGCGAACCGATTTCGGATCGCGAATAATTTCGAAAAAGTCGCTACAAAGTCAAAACGACTATATGATATTTTCATTTCAGACAAACAAGTAAAAATCCATCGCTTTGGACTTTCAAAGCTAAAAGT